CTGTAGAAGAGTAGTGAAGAGGGAGGGAAGGTGAGGGGGAGAAAGGCAAGGGAAAGAGATAGGGTACGTGCCGGAAACATCCGTAGCATGCAGGTGTTGCACGGTGGTCATCTGACGGGCCTAGTAAGAGCCATGCACGGGAAACCCAAGCTGAGGAAGCGGCCAACCATCACGAAGATCACTAACATAAGCTAGGGGTTACGTAGCTATCAGTGACGATTGGCTCAAATGGGGAGAAAGGTGAAGCTGGTCGTTAACGGCCGAGGAATCGATTCCAACAACCTCAGCGGTTGGTGCTTCTACCCTGCTGGAGTGGTGGTGGCTACACGCGTAATCGGTCCTCACGCACGGCCCGGCACATGGCAATTCCCAAGCTGCACGGCCGCCTCTCATTTCCCGACTCCCTGTCTCTTCACCGTTGGCTGGCGGCAAAGGTCTTGTTTCTCCAGGTGCTTTCTGACCAGTCGCGTTAGTGTTTTTTCAAACCCTAACGTCGACGCTACTCGACGCTACTCGTACATTAAACAACAATAAACTACCTTACGATGGACTTTGCTTTGCGTTGGGCTTTGGCTGTTCTCGTGTGTTCGTGGTGTTTTGATCTCATGCGAACAGTTGTTTGCCCTGTGTTTTCTCAGCGGCGTCATCATCGCCCCCTGCCCCCCTCCCTCGCACTGCCGCTGACGTCCACGCACCGCCATGACATCACATGATATGCCGTACAGGACCCACATGGATGCTGCCGTACAGTCGTACCTGGCTGGCACGCCCGCTGCAGTGGCGGCCGACGGCATGTTGCGCGCCTGGCTGGCGGAATGGTCGCGACTGAACGTCACTGTGGCGGATGTACGGCAGATGCTGCTGCAGGCGACGCCGGATCTTATAGCGGGCTCGCTCGCGGCCCGCGGGGCGGGCGGGAAGGTGCGCGGTGCACACGTCAGGTCTTAGAACGTGTGGACCAATGGGACCGAATCTGATTGGGTTGATCTTACACCACCATTTCCGTTACCGCGGCAGAGCGTTGGCGCCCACTTTCCCCTTTCCCCCCCTTCCCTTGGCAGCAGCTTCACTCGTTCGTTTGGTTTTCGTCTTTCCCCCTTCTTGCTAGCGTCAATCCCAGTTGTTCGTCTCTCCCCCTTTCGAGGAAGCAACTTGATTGTTTAACACTTTTTTTTAGCTGTTGGTGATGCTTTTTTTTACGTTGTCGTCAATCGTATATTTTCTAGTTTTTATTATAATATTTTGCGTCATGGAAGAACTTGCTGTAACTTTTGTGTATTTCATGGTCTTCCTTCCCACTCATCCTCCTCATTCCCCCAACCCCGTCATCCCCCGGCGGGCCCATACCGACACCTCATTGGCTGCGGGCCGGACCGCCTTCCTTTCTTTCTCCCCCCCTTTTTTCTTGTTGATCGCTGAAGCTGAAGCAGGTTGTGGGGTGGGCCGTCGCCGTGGGATTGTCTGGTGTTCTGGTGTTGCTGGGTGTGGGCGGATTGGCGGTGTGGTGCTTCCGGATGGCGAGGGGGGAGGCTCGCCTGCGGCGGATTGAGCCGCCGGGGGTTGGCGCACAAACGACATTGGTGGTTACAGGTAACCAATTTTTGGGGGGCCGGGGGGAGGGGGGATGGATCGGTGGGGAGCGGGGGTGAGTGGGGTGTGATTTCTGTTGTATGTATGCATGTATGTATGTGTGTGTGCTACATGGTCGTGGGTGCGTTCCCCGTATCCGCAAACCGCCCTAATACGAGCCGAGGGCTCAAGGGCGTTGGGTGTGTGTGTATGTATGTATGTATGTATGTATGTATGCATTTTTCATTGGTTGACAGTAGTTGGTTGGCATTATTGGTTTGCGTGTTTAGCTGCATCGTCAGAGCTTCTTCCCCTCCCCTCCCCTCCTCTCTCTCCACACCACCACAACCCCACACCAACTGCAGACATCCAAGACTCGACCAAGCTGTGGGAGCAGCTACACAGCGATGTGATGGTGGGTGCAAATCACCATGCATGCAAGCCCTGCGCAATGTGCAGTTAGTTGGTTGGTTGGTTGTATGGGCATGTTGTATCGGCGACAGCGGTTGACGGTTCGGGGGTCGGCTGCGCTTGCAACCGCGCCTCACCTTCCAACCGACAAACCAACCGTAAAAAACCACCATTCTGCTGTCAGTGATCTAAGCACCCTTAATCCATTTGAACTTAGCACACCATCCTCACCTCCCCCGTCCAATTCACCGCCCCCCCCCAACCTGAGGTCGCCGCCTTCAAGAACGCCTTTTGGTCAGTTCTACGTCTGGTATACTCTTGCCCTGGCAGCAGCTTCACCCGTTCGCGGTCCGTCTTTCCCCCCCCCAACCACCCCTCAACCAGACTAACCAGCCGATCAACCACCAGAATACTTATGTTAATGCGACCTCCCCAACCTGTTAACCGACAGGTTAAGCAAAAAACCAACGAACTAACTGACTGGATGCCAAACTAACAAACCGACCAACTGACTGCAGGATTTGGCGATCTACCACCACCACTCCCTGGCACGGCGGCTGATTCTGCGGTTTCGGGGCTACGAGTCGGCCACAGAGGTAACTGCGGGTAGGGGCAGATGTGGAGGAAAGGACAAGGGGTAACAATCCGACAGTGATGACACGAAGCAACGTGCCCCGTAATACGATACGGCGGCGAACCGGCTTGTTGCAGCTCCTGCTCGTTCCATTATACATACATGCATACATAAATACATATATACATGTATACATACATACATATGTATATATGATGTGTGAAACAGGGGGGTGTATCTTCGCCCGTGGCAGCTACCCTGCGAAACCCTGCCTTCCCCGGTATTTCGGGGCACCCTCATCCAGTCACCCTAGTCAACTTCTCAGTGGATCGCTCAGGTTCCGCACCCGCCACCAGCATCCAACGGAATCTGCCGGGTCCACAGCGGCCCAACTCCATTCCTGGTCGGCTCGCAGGTTAACTTTATCCCAGATCATCCCAGTTAATCAACTAGGGGCGCAATGCCTTCCACCATCGGAAGGACTATATATATACATACATATGTACATATATGCATACATATATACATACATACATACATACATACATACATACATACATACATACATACATACATACATACATACATACATACATACATACATACATACATACATACATACAGGCAGGCGGCTGGCAGAGGTTAAGGCCTGACTTCTGCTCCCAGTCGACCCAGTCGACCCGGGTTCAAATCCGCCTGCCGGCTCCTCGGGTGTTTGAGGAGTGATGAAATGGGAGGTGGCCCCCCATCTTATGGACGGTGTAGGACGTGATAATATCAACTTGCGAGCTGACCAGGAACTAAGTTGATGCGCCGTTGATCCGCTAGATTTGGTTGGATGCTGGTGGTGAGTTGCCGAACCCAACGAATACATTCTGAAGTCGGATGGGGTGACGGATTAGGGTGCCCCTCTAGCAGGGGAGAGCAGGGACTGCCCCGGGAAAGGGGGCCGCTGGCGAAGTTAACCACCCTGTAACAACATACATACATACATACATACATACATACACATGTTCCTGCCCGGGTACGGATATCCCTGACCTGGATGTCAAGAAAGATGGCTGGATGGGGAGGAAGGAAGGATTAGAAGGGGCACATCATGATATGAAAGATGTGACCCCGTTTATTGTGGTGATGGACACCAGTGTGAAGGTGGCGGAGGGGGGTGATGGAGGTATTTGCTAAAGGAGTGGGGGAAGGTGGGGATCTGGTGTTTTCCCCTCTCCAAGCCCGGGGGGGGGTGCGGGAGGGGGGGCCGGAGAGATCATCCGAGGGGGGGTGCGGGGAAGTCTGGACCACGTACTCTCTCATCCACCATGCTGCAACCTCCTACCTAGGTAAGCCGCCACCACACACACACCAACACCCACACACACAGCCACCTTCTCCCCCCCCACACACACACACAGCCACACCCACACACGCACACACAGCCACCTTCTTCCCCCCCCTCCCCANCGAATTGAT